CCATTGTCTGGATCCGGATGAAAAACTTCATGAAATGTGATGACACAATCATGTTTGCAGATCCATGTTTGAATGTCATCATTGGACCCAATGGAGCTGGAAAATCAACTATTCTCTGTGCCATCTGCTTAGGTTTGGGTGGGAAACCTCAGTACATTGGCCGGGATAATCATGTATCATCTTTTGTAAAAGTTGGATGTGAGTCTGCTCAGTTGGAGATTGCTTTGCACAATGTCAAAGGAGAAAACTATATTATCAAGTCAGTGCTTTTTCGTAAGGGAGGCATAAAGTGGCAGCTTAATGAAAAAAGTGTTACAAAGGGACAGATAGATGATCTTGTGAAGGGACTCAAAATTCAGTTGGACAACCTGTGCCAGTTTTTACCTCAAGAACGTGTTCAGCACTTTGTTAAGATGAATGAATTCCAACTGTTGGAGAGTACAGAAAAAGTTGCTGGTTCAGACAATCTATATGAGAATCACCAGAAGCTGAAAGAAATAAGAGATGAAGTCCGATCATGGGAATCTCGCAGGGAGACAAAGACAAAACAACTGACTAGTTCTAAGCAGAAGAACAGCCGACTGGAGGAAGATGTTAGAAATTTTAAGGAACGGGAAAGAATCCTCAAAGAAGTTGAGGCCTGCAGAGTCAAGAAACTCTTCCTTGATTATAAGGACAAGCAGAAGAGATGCATTGAGATGGAAAAGAGCATGAAGGATTTACAGAAGGAAGTTAGGGAAGCCAATATCAAGGCTGATAGCCTTCAGAAGTCTATTCATGAGGAACATAAAAAATACGGTGAGTATAGAAAGCAAGCTCAAGATGCCCAGAAGAAAATCCATTCCAGTGAGGAACGCGTAGATAGGTATCGATCTCAACTACAAGAAGAAGAACTAAAAATTCAGGAAGCTATTACAAACTATGAAAGCTTGCAAGAACGACGCCGAGGTGACCAACAGAGAGCTGAAGTCATCCAACGACGTGTTGAGAACTTGGAGCAGCAATTGCAGGAATGTACTCAGCAATATGTGCAGCATGAACATGATGGAACCATAAGAGAGATGCAGGAGCTCTCTCAGCAACTTGCTACTGTCAACAACCAGTGTTCTGATCTGGATCATGAGTTGCGTAGCCTAAAGTTTGCAATGAATCGGTATGAGAGGCAGATGCAGGATCTTAAAAATATACACCAGAAGCATATGGAAGTTGTCAAGCGAAACTTCCCACAGCTTCATTCAGCTATTTTGTGGCTTCGTCAAAATCAGCACCAACTTCGAGCACCTGTCCATGAGCCCATGCTCATGAGCTTGAATGTCCATGATGCACAAAATGCCAAGTATATTGAAAGTCGAATCCAGAGACGGGACCTCATAGCATTTGTATGCGAAGATAAGCAAGACATGGATTTCTTGATGATCAAACTTCGGGAAGAGATGGGCTTGAAGGTGAACTTTGTTCATTCTGAACCCATTCCTCCTAATGAGTACAAGCCTCAAATTCCATTACAACACCTGCAGAAGTTGGGTTTTTTTGCTTATCTCAGGGACTTGTTTGATGCTCCTGATGCTGTAACATCTTTTCTCTGCCGGCAATATAAAGTTCATTTGATTCCTGTTGGTGATGAGAGGTGTGAGCAAAATTTGGAGCACATTCTCAAGAAGACTGATCTCATCCATTTTTATGCTGGTTCATCCAGTGTTGTTCGATCCAAGTCTCGTTATTCCAATAAGAGCATGACCAACATCTCCCAGATTGGAGCTGCTCAATTGTTGTCTATCAGTACTGATGTCAATCTTGAACAGTCTTTGAAGCATCAAATTGAAGAAGCCAATCGCCAAGAAGCAGCTCTGAGACAAGAATTGGTTATAGCTAGTAAACAGCGTCAGGACTTGGAGAAGAAACAGGAGACTGTGAGGCAAAGGGCATACAATTTGAGGGAGCTCCGTGAGAAGCGCAATGGCCTTGAGTCCCAGCTTCAGAGGAAACGTGCAGAGTATGAAAGCATAGTTAAAAAAATTGAGTCCTTCAACTTGGAGCACGAACAGCAATGCCTGCAGGAGCGATGCAAGAGCCACCCATTGAAGATGTCCATAATTGTGCTGTCCATGGCTGAGGAAACAAGCAAGGTTTTAGAGTATATACGGGAGAAGGACTTTGCATCTCTCAGTGCCGATCGAGTGTCTAGTCAAAGACGAGAATTGGAAGGTCAATTGCGCAATGCTCAAGATGCTCTTAATACAGTGAAATCAGGCTTACAAGAGCAGGAGGCAAAACTGGAAAGTCTGAGAGAGGAAGCAAGGACTGTGCTCCAGGATTACACTAATGAGGCCAAAAAATTCAAAATCAAAAAAGAGGATTTGGAGAAACTTCCCAATGACTTACAAGTTTTGAACACCAACATGCATGAAATGGAGGCTAAGGCAAACTGCATGATCAGCACTGATCGATCAGTGGTTGAAGAGTATAACCGAAGGGTGGAAGAGATTCGAGGACTTGAAGAAGATGTTCAACATCTCAACCATACCCTAGTATCAAGGCAGGCAAGTCTGGTAGCTCTGAAGCAGACATGGTTGCCTGCTTTGAAGGATGTGATTGACAGAGTGAACCGTAACTATAGCCAATACCTGGAATGCTTGGATTGTGCAGGAGAAGTCTATCTGCACACAGGAGACAATGAAGATGATTTTGATAAGTATGGAATCAAGATTCGTGTCAAGTTCAGGGCAGAGGAAGAGCTTCGAGAACTGACTGCTTATTGGCAGAGCGGAGGGGAGAAAAGTATTTGTACCATTCTGTATCTTCTTGCTCTGCAGGACTTATTTTCAGCCCCATTTCTCTGCATGGATGAGATCAATCAAGGAATGGATGCAATGAATGAGCGACGCATCTTTGAACTCCTGGTGCATGTCTCTCAGGAGAAGCTCAGGAGGAATCAATACTTCCTCCTTACTCCTAAGCTCCTGCTTAATCTCCCTTTCAATGACAAGATGATGGTACATGTGATATTAGATGGGATTGATGCTGGTGAAGCCAACCAGGATTAGAAATATTTTTTTCCTGTGTATATTGGGAACAGGACTAGGACTTCATGACCAATAGTCCTGATAAAGGCAATATGAAACTTTTGAATAATTTCATTTCTAGTTCTCTCTGTATCTCAAGACATATTAATGTCCTTTTTAATCAATGGGACTGAGTAAAGTTGCATTCTGTTATATGATTGAGTTTGAACTTTTTGAAAAGGAGGAAGGAGGCATAGTAAGAGATGCATGTTTGTAAGCCTAGCTCTATCTGGAGACCATGTCTCTCAGACCCAGCACATGATGATTGGAAACTAACAGAGCTACATTCATTTTTCCCTCTGGTATAGTTAAAAAAATTTTTTTTCAGATATATATTTGAAAGGTATGCATAGCACTATCTGGTTCCATTATAAAGTCTCATGACTGATGAGCCTAGTGCAAAAGCTATTGAACGGCATGAATGGAAAATTATGAGGATAGAGAACTGGGTGTTTGCTCTACTTATATCTTGTGACAAAACTGTTGATAGAGGGTGTACCACCACAGCCTCATATGTATATCATCACAAACTTACAGTATAAAACAGTGGCAATGCCTCATGAGGCACACATTGCAATGGGAGTGACCACCCTGGTAACACCCCACACTGCCTGTGTAGAAAAGTCATATCTGATAGTAACATATGTGATGCATGACTCATGTATGATATAATATACTTATTCATATATGGTACAACCATGTATGAATTTTACAATTAATTTAAATGTATGAGAAGTGTTTAAAAAATGATAATATACAGTAAAAATAATGATAGTAACAGTCACACATTAAAAAAAACCACATGGACTCTAAGGAATGATACGACTTCTCCAACATGAAAATGCACCTTGTCACACATCTCAAGTTGTCAGTAACCAGTAGGCCAAAAATTGTTTTTGCTCTGTTCTCCTTCATACAGCCCAGATTTTGTTTATAACATTTGGTTCAACCAAAATCTCAAATCTGACCTTAGATGAATGCTTTCAGGACAGAAACTAAGTCCTGAAGGCTGTGAGGTACAAGCTGAAACAACTTTTCCTATATGACTGTGCATCATGCATATTTTTTAAGTCAGGAGCTGTATCATAATTATTTCACAATTTATTAATTTTCTATATTATGTTCAGAGGTCTTTATTGTCAGTCACTGTAGATGAAACAATGGCTTATGAGTTTGTTCACCTCAATTGTAATTCCAAGAAGATGGCCTGGCCAATGAATTTGTATTTTAAAAAGTATTATGCATAATTTTAAAAGTTATTATCCATCCTATTGAGCTTCAATAGGACAGAAGAAATTGTTAAACACGTAGATGCATTGTAGTCAGGATTCAGAATTTTCACATTTGTTGGAAAGTTCCTTTGGTAAAACCCTACACTTTTGTTTGTTTTTGCCTTCAATAGGTGGGGGGAAAATGCAAAGAACTGTAAATGTTTAATTTCATGCTGTAAAAGGCTATAGTCACATCCAAGTTTGGGAATGACCTCAAGCCTCTTGCTCAATGACCTCTTCTCTGAGGTCAAATATTAATAGGCCCAACCCTATTGGTGAGTTGTGGGAAGAAAGCACACTGGTAGGTATACTTCATTGATTATGATTCCCTTCAACCTAAATATTCTTGCCTCTGGATACTTAGATGGTTCCTTAGCGCTATATGCATGTCTCTGAAGTTTGAAAATACTCCCTTTATTTCAACAGAGCTAGCATGTGAATAGAAACAACATGAGATCCACATAGGACTTGTTCTCCATTGCCTCTACTAAAGTTTCTGATTTATCTGCACTTTTGGACCAAATGTTGGGTAGCAGTATGATAACAAGGCTCTTCCTTTCTGCCTGTTGAATATAGAAACTATGAAGGCATCCATTACTGAAAAAAAAAAAACCAGTAGCCTACATTACCATTACCATAAACTCTTTTGATTGGGAGGAGTGCTTTAATGTCCTTGCAACCAAAGCCATTAGAGTCCTTGGCTTGCTCAAATGTAACTTATGCATTGCTCCCAAAGAAGCCAGGGCTGCAGCATGCATATCCATCCCATTTTGGAGTATGTAGCTAAATTTTGGGACCACTTCAAAGTTGGTAAAAAGCAATATGTATGCTATATACTCAATGACTGCAATTGGTATATCAAATCCAATGCTACTGGATGGACACTTACTGTATATGCCTTGGACAGTAGGGCAAAAATGCCAAATTGTTTCATCCTTATAAAGTCTTGCAGAGCTTGTCACTACTTCACTTGCATAGATCATGAGAACAGTTTTTTCCAAGGATTGTGGTGAATTGGAATGCTCTTTCTGTTGGATCTCTCCTTACTGGGTTCAGTGGCTGGGTGATTCAGACTTCCAAGTCAAACCCTTGTGCTGGGGATTGAATCTTGGTGGTGGTGAGCTCTTCTTCACCCAGAGGCAACCCACCTGCTTTCTATGAAGTATCTGCCCGGCTTTATGGCAACACACATACCACTAGGTGTGCTATGTCTAGTAGATGCAATTGTATTACAAAAAAGTATGGGCCTAGGCAACCCATGAGCTGCTCCTAAGGACTCCTGCAGGACCATGGAACCTAAGGAGTTTTGATTGGATGTGGTGCCAGTGCCAAGCAGGCACCCCATACCTCCACGGTTAATGTGCATGCTTTCATGTGTTCACTGCATATCCCACTTAAAAAACAAAGTCCCTTTGAACACTCCTTTCCAAATTCTAATGACCAATGCTGGAGCCTTCTGTCATCACTGCTAGAACATATTGCATTGTGTCTCTCTGGTCTTCATACATGCTTTAGTGTGTTGGAATTTCCTGGGAAGAATATGCAAGCAGACTAAGCAGGCCGTCCACCTGCGCATCTCTGTTCCTATGAACCTTGTTTACAGGTTCACAAGGGTTTTCCTAGCCTGCTATGAGTACCTATTTTCGCTGTTTTGATTAGATGTTGCTTGATGTCTTGTTTCTAATAATGATTTTCATTTTTTCCCATCTTTAATCTTTATAATCTTCTGAGTGCTCTGTTATGACATTTACAGAATAAGGTGGTGATGATCTTGGGCCTCATTGGCATATCAGGAGCCTTAGGATATTTGGTGTGGTTGAGGTCCTATTACAACAATCAGGGATTCTATATTGCTGTTGCTGAGGATGGTTCTCATATCTTGCAACCCAAGAAGTCCAAGTGGGATTAGGTTTGTTTTTTTCCACTACTGATTTCAATGTTGTTATTCATGATGAAATTGAAGAGTTTGGTTTTAATGCATGATTCAGGTGGTGCTAGTCATTCAAGATGGACAGAAAGGAAAGGCACAGACATGAGCAGAAGAACTCATCTGACAGTGATGATAACTATGTCCCTTATGTCCCTGTCAAACAGAGAAAACTTCAGAAACTCCAGAAACTTGGACGTGTAATCCAGGTAAAACAAAGATCAAGTTAAAATTTTCTATTTTCTGCCATCATGGGATGAAGTGAGGAAAATATTAGCCTTTATACTGGGCAAAGCCAATCTAGTGGTGGGACACCTTTTGCCATAGAGGGCAGATTGTTTCAGAATTATGACTCCTGGAACTGTAGATCAGGTAAATTTTATGTACAGAGTAATTCATTATTGGCTGTGTCTTTGTAGTGTATTGGTGTCTTCCATATGTCTTGACTAATAATGGGATGGTTTGTAACTTTATGCTCTGGGATAAAAGAACTTCCAATGCAATATGTTATGTAGCAAAAAGGTTCCATAATTGTCTTTCATATAGTTCATGAAATGCTTAGTAATCTTGTGCCAGTGCTTTATTGCAACGTGACTTGATTTTTAGCATGATGAGCAGAGAACAGGGAAATCAAAGGAGTTTAACAATATTGTACCTATATAAAAGTTTCAGAAGTACAAAGTGAAACATATGCCATTAATATTCTTATTTCTTTTCAAACCTGACAATTGCATTTCATTTCAGACTTTTTGATATTTATAGGTACAAATCTAATTTTAATGCATTCATTTTGTCATAATTAATGTTCATGATGCCACTGACAGATCCAGGATGAGAATCGGAAGTTGCCTGGATCAAGTGAGAACTCTGGCAATGAGGAAGATTGGGATCCACTTGCTCCTTTAGCCAAGTCCCGACCAGATGTCAGTCTTTTGGATCAGCACAATGACCTCATCAAGCTTGCTGAAGGTAAAACTGTTTTTCATATCAGCACAATGCTTGCAAGAGTGGTAAAATTCCAAAAAGTCCAAGCCATGAATTTCAAGTATGGCTGTATGAGGATAGGATGTAGTGATTTCAGTCCTTGTTCAATTTTTTACAGCCCAGCAAGAAAGCAAGTTAGAAAAACAGCTAAAGGAAGAAGAGGAAATCTTAGCCAGTGTGGCAAGGGAAAGAGCCTTGATGGGTGTTGCTGAATTGGCCAAGGGGATCCAGTATGAACATCCCATCAAGACTGGGTTAGCTTTATGAAGATGTTTCTAGCTAGTTTGAAATTTTGAAGATGATACCAAGTGCATAGTTCTTGGGCCTGGCTAATATGTGCTCATCTTTCAGATGGCATCCTCCCCACTGGGTCCTAGAGAAAGGCAAATCATACCATCAGCGCACTCGCCGTAAGATGATGATTCTCGTTGAAGGGGAAGAATTGCCACCACCTTTGACACGTTTTATTGACATGAAGTTTCCTCCCACCATTATCCGAGCACTGCGAAAGCGTGACATTATCATTCCTACTCCCATCCAGGCCCAGGGCTTGCCTACTGTGTATGCACTTCATTATGAGATTTTGTATTTTTGCTCACCGTTTACCCTTGACTTCTCCCTACCTTGCTTACGGTGTTAGAAATTATCTTTCTCATTGTTTCTTTGTTGCTTTAGTGAGGAAGTATAAGCATGAACAATGAGATTATAACTTTTGCATCTATGCTGCTGTCACTTTCAAAATTGTGTTACTTTGGACATATTTCATCATGTATAGCAGAGTGAGAGAGAAGGAAAGCCAGAAGTGCAGAGATGGGGGTTGACTGTCAAGCAGAGTAAATGTAGATAACCTATTTATTTCAAAATCTTTGTGTTCCAGGCTGTCAGGAAGGGACATGATTGGGATTGCTTTCACTGGGAGTGGGAAGACTCTGGTTTTTGCCCTTCCCATCATTATGTTTTGCTTGGAGCAGGAGGTGAAGATGCCATTCATTCGAGATGAAGGACCATATGGTATGCTCAACACTATCTCTGCAGTATGAAAGAGTTTTTCCAGAAAACCTTCCAATTTTAAGCTTTTCTGTCCTTATCTCCTTGATAGGACTTATCATCTGTCCATCTCGTGAACTGGCAAAGCAGACCCATGAGGTCATCCAGTATTTCTGCACTGAACTGCTTGAGAGTGGGTTCCCTGAACTTCGGGTCTGTCTTGCAATTGGAGGGGAACCTGTCACTAATGCCATGAGTGTCATCCACAGGTATCCTGGCATTGTACAATTATCCTTAAAGTTAAATTATTGGAATTATGGTTGAATTCATTAGGATTGAGGGCAGGATAAGTTGAAAAAAATTTTTCTAATTTTTCATCCTGGCAAAGGACACATTTAACGCATTGCATCAAAAGACGTACAGGTAGATCACGCTGTGCTTGGCCCGTATCACCAAAGACGTACAGGTATGTTGCGCAGCACCTGGCCTGTATCACCAAGAATGTACTGGTATGCTGTGTTTTTGAGCGACCATGCCTCAGGAACTGCTGAAGCTATACTGAAGAAGAAAAAACTTGTGCATAACTTGTCTCCTCTTGTTTAGTTACTAAGTCCATTGTCTCACCATGTCTGGGAGACACAAGAGGGACCTCAAAAGAAGACCAATTACTTGTGTCATAACTGCTGTCAAGCATTGAGAGAGGAATTAGAGAATTTATCATGTCTTTGGTTTAATTTAGCTTCAGGTAACGAATTGTGAGGGATTATGAGTTTTTGTGATTATGATGAGTGATAATTATGATGAATAATTGGAGTTGTAAGCAGAAAACGATTTAGATAAGGATTTGAGGGATGTGACTGAGACTGAAATTAGTTAGGTGAAATCATCCAGTGAATCTGACCATAAATCAGACGAGTAATGTGCCTCTGACCTTAATGAATTAAATCCATCTCTGCCCTGAGCTGAAGTTCCCATGACAGCACAAATGAAAATATTTTGGTTTTTCTTCAGTGACTATTTTTGATAGTTTCAGTCATGTGACTGAAACTAACCACTTTACCAAAGATGGTTTCGCTACAAACTTCACTCCCCTGACAAGGGATAAGCTTCTTCTGGCCTACCTTGTCCTGTGTATTCTAATGAGATTGGTATACAACCCTACTGTCCAATCTTATTGGTCTCTCAAGGGATGCAATGCATGAATGGAGACACCATTCTTGAATAAAGTCATGCCTAGGTTAAGATTCATTGCCATCTTTAAATAAGACTTTGCCAACAATGCTAACCTCAAACTATCGACTGAAGAAAGTTTGGCCAGTTCTCAAGCTTCATCAAGTCAGATTCAAAGGGCTCTATACTTAAGGTAAAGACGTCTCAATAGACGAGTCTGAGATAGATGTGTTCATTAGTAAGCCATGAATTACAGCAACATGAGTTCAAATAAATGTTTGATTGATTTTGCCGGTCAAAACATGCTCATGCTCCTGTGCACTCAGCCACGCAGTGAGGGTGGAGGCCAGGGAGGGAGACTGCATGACCATGAAAACAAACTAACTTAAGCTGGATCGAGGATGATGCAGATGGGTTAAGATGCCTCTGTCCCCTTAAAGCTTCTCTTTTATATCAGAGCTTGGCCATAGCCCTTTCCATGGCATTGACAGGTGAGACCTACATCACCCTTTTTCCTGTAGCCTGCAAAGGATGGATCTCATCCATCTGCCCACTTCAAACTCAATTTGGTAATGCTGCCACTCGGCAGTGTTGGCAGTCATCCAGTCATAACCAGCCACATGTTTGGTCATTCTGGTGCAAGTTGATTTATTATGCTCTGGCAGTAGCAACCTGTGAGCAAAACATATTTGGCATGGAGAGAGTTAATGCTTATGACAACAAGTTTCAATTTGATCTGTAAGAAATGTTTCACATGGTTTATATTTTATTTGGTAAAAACATTCTTTTTGGTAAGGGAAGGTTAGTCACAGCACTAGTCAAATATCTCTAACAATTTGGTAATTTTTCAGTGTGAACCTTCAGGTTTATTGGGAAGGGTTTCATCTTGTGTCTCCCTCTGATGCATGATGTGATGTGCAAATTATTTTTTTTTAATTTGCAGGAGGCAGAGAGAGTAAATAAAAAAAAAGCCCATTCATTCAGCATTCATGTTCTGAGTCTTCAGAGTTGGATTATTGTCATTTACTAATGGAAAGATCTGCTCATGAATGAAGACTCATTAAGTATTGTGTACTTATTATAATTTAATGTAATTTAATGGCATATTGTGATATGGGAGGATCATTACAATAACTATTCCAGTTCGACTATGGGGTATTGTGTGTCAGGGTCACCAATTCTTTTCCCCTCCATAAATGTATGCCATATTGAGAAAATATAGCAAATGGAGGAGGAATGGATCTGTGAAGGTACTGTGAGAGGAGATTAAGGGCTAGAGTGGCTAGGTATTTGACAGATCTGGTTCTCTCGCAGAGGGCATTGGCTTGATACCCTCTTCCAGCATCAATATTCATTGTCAACATTATTTTTTCATATTTGCAGAGGGGTTCACATTGCTGTGGCAACTCCTGGCCGCTTGATGGATCTACTGGATAAAAAGAAAATGCACCTGGATACTTGCCGATATCTATGCATGGATGAAGCTGATCGAATGATTGATTTAGGATTTGAAGAGGATGTGCGGACTATTTTCTCCTTCTTCAAGGGACAGCGACAGACACTTCTGTTTTCTGCCACTATGCCCAAGAAGATCCAAAACTTTGCAAGGTCTGCTCTAGTCAAGCCCATCACAGTCAATGTGGGACGAGCAGGTGTGTTGGATTAAATGTTTCTTCCCTGCTCCTCATGAATTCTACTGAAAATCATGCAATTAAATTAAAGTTGCATAGAGAGATGGTTTGGGGAATGCTACCAAGAGGCAGTGTCTATTTAAGCCAGCATCTCTTCCTCCACAGTTGGTATTCTAACTGAAACATATGAGATGAGAAAACATGAAAAGTAAAAATTTCCATGATAGAGAGAAAAAGAACAAATCCTTGGACTGGATTCCTTCCCCTTGCAAATTGAGAAATTCCACATAGCTTTGATTAGCAGGAGCACTTGGTCCTTCTTTTTCACCAGATTCACATTTATAACTTTGAAAGATGTGCTCTGCCCTTATTGAGAAACTTGTTCCACTTTCTCAAGGAAAATCAGTGAAATAATTTTTCCCAAATTACTGGTACCAACCTAAAGATCACATAATGCAGTTCAGGAGCATTTGCTTAGACATTTCTTCATAAAAGTGACACTTGTCTCTCTAGGTACAGGAATCTAAAAAGAGCTTCAGGATGCCCCCTCTCTCCAAACACGTTGCTTTCATTGCAAACTGTTTTCTCTTGCCATGAGTTTCCTGATTCAGTACATGGTGGTATGTCTGCAGGTGCGGCATCAATGGAAGTTATTCAAGAAGTGGAGTATGTGAAGCAGGAAGCACGCATGGTTTATCTCCTGAGCTGCCTCCAAAAGACACCCCCCCCAGTGCTCATCTTTGCTGAGAAGAAACAGGATGTTGATGCCATTCATGAATACCTACTCCTTAAAGGTTCCCTGCCCCTCTCTTTCTCTCTCCAAACTAAAACACTTCTTGAAGAGGGTTTTAATTGTACCTATGGTATTGGATTTTACTGGGTGGGACAGTAATATTTTCTCCCCTTCTGCAGCTTTGTAGGAAAAAGACTTTGGGAAACCCAACTGAAAATACCATTTCTTAATCCAAATGGAACTCAAAATGACCTGTTTCAGTATCTGTGATCAACACTTGCATGATGCACAGCCTCCAAGGGATGAGAATAGGATTCCATTTTTCTCTAAAAACAAATATTTCTGGTTCTTCATGTTTTGCTGCTTCTGGGTAAGGTTTCTCTGGAGCATTTTAGGGAAATTCTGATTTTCTGGGCTCTCCTTGTGCATCAGGGTGTTCACTTAAGCTTTCATCATAGCCCTAAGGTTTTCTGTTTTATTTAAGTCATGTGAGCTTCTCAGCAGGTTGTCATTTCTCCAGAAGTTGACCCCATTTGCCCTCAGATTTGCTAGAGCCTCATTGGCTTTCTTGGTTGAAGCTTCATTGTGAACAAGAGTGGATTAGCCCTTAAGCACATATTCCTCATCTTGAAGGAAGGGAAGAACATGCTGAGCCAATATTGTCTGCCTGGAATGTTGGTCATTTTTATGTTTTCCCATGCTGTTTGAAGACCTACATAAGTTTTTAAACTGTGAACAACTGAAAGATGCCAAGGCAAGCAGACTTTTGAGGGAGGCTACAAAATCCCTCACCATCTTCAGCATGCAAGGCCCAGATGTAATCATTTCTTTGGTTTGGTTTCTGAAAAGTCCAAAGAGTTCATCTGTGCATGCAAATCAATGAAATCATTTTTATCCCATTCACTGTGAAATAAACAACCATGGCTGACTACTTATAGGTTTGAGTTTTGAATAGTTTGTGGTCACATGGAAGGACTTAAGGACAATTGCTTTCCAACAACAGGAAACAAAGCACTCTCTTCCTCTTGCTGTCATAAGAGCAAACCATTTTGATATCTTAATCTGAAAAAAAAATCAAACTGTTGAGAAAAACCATAATTAGGCACTCATATTTTACTCATCATGTTATCACCTAAAATCCTGTTGGCTGTAGGCAGGGAGAAGAAGGTCATATCTCACCCTGTATATTATATATCAATTGAGTTCGTCACTTTTTTCATCTGACTTTAATATGCACAAGGTAGGCTGAGTTCATCCTCGGCAAACATTCAAACAATAATCTCATAAGTATTTTCCTAATCAGGTAGAAAGTTTTTTGACTGAAATGAAAATGTGCAGAGTTCCCCTTGCAGGAGTGGAAGCAGTAGCTATCCATGGAGGAAAGGACCAAGAGGAGCGGACCCGAGGCGTGAAAGCTTTCAAGAACCATGAAAAGGATGTTCTGGTTGCTACTGATGTTGCCTCCAAAGGGCTTGACTTCCCTGATATTAAACATGTAATTAATTATGACATGCCAGAAGATATTGAGAATTATGGTGAGTCTTCTCTGGTGACACTTGTTGTCTAATGATTTGTCAATAAGCATTTTCAATTGAATATGCTTATTGAACACTAAAGTAAGTAAAGAAAATGCTAAGTATCAAGAACCCCTTGATGATAGAAGGCTTGCTATGAGTATGTTACTGTGTAGTGACAACATTTTGAATTTGTTTTAATTTCATGAGGCATGAAGAATCACAGAATTAAATTGCTGCAAATTTTTTTCCCCAATACTCTCCAGAGACCATTGCTGATGTCACATTGTAGCATCATATTGATTTGCATTCATGGCTCTATTTTAAACATTTAACCTCCTGATAGCTGGAATTTAAATGCACCCTTTAATCCTCAAGGCGTTAAGTATTGCAAAAATATTAATCCATTATATATAATTGATATATAATATATAATTAATGTATTAGTATAAAACCAAATCAAAGAGCATAAATTGATATAGCTATTGCCAATTTTCACATTTTCAAAAAAATACAGGCCATGCCAAAATTAAAGGCACTTTCAATGGTACAACATGTGTCCCACTTGGCTGTAGAGAGAAACATATTGGACAACATGTGTCCGACTTGTCTGATAAAGGTTAAGCTATGCTATCTTGGAAACCATGGCTTCTTGAATTAAATAAATTTCCTGAATTACAGGAATACTCTCAATAAGCATAGAGGTCGCTAAAATGTCAAAGCAGTGAGATGAAAAAGCATGGTTGCCAGCAATTAGCTCCTAAGCAGGGGTGTCACACTTCTGAAGAGGAGTGGAACTGGAATTTAAAAGATCTGGAAACAAGGTTATAGGCCTGCCTCTGACAACTTTGGATGCCAGATTTGTGATCTGGTTAAGCATGGATGAATAATCCATGCTTAACCAGATCACAAATGTTTAGAGAAGGAAAATGCATATGATTTTGCAAAATAAATTGGCCCAAAATTTTGTTATTGCTGCTTATGAGGGACTAGCTTTTTCATAAAATCAAAAGGGAAGTTGGTAAGACCTTCCCACGAAATAAAATTGGTATGCCATGAAATGAAGTGTTAAATTGTCATGAACAGCAAGAAAAATGAGGAAATGAGATTGTTACTGAACCTCAAGGAATAGTGAATCGCATTAATGAATACTTTGCAACTCTCATTCAAAATACTGAATAGACAAGGGAGCCATGAAGAAAGACCCATTTAAGTTTGTTTAACCCTTTACTTACCAGGTTTTGCACAGCTGACAGTGCCTGCTGGATTGATCTTTATTTTTCAGGTGTGCAAGCATTGCAGAACTCAGATTTTTCAACACTATAAACACATAATTGCAGTTATTTAGGCTCTAACTAACCTTAAATTTTGAGGATTGACCAGTGTTTTTACCCCCATGAATCACAGGCCAGTTTCATGGGGTAAAAACATGCTGCCGTACATGTATGGCCATGGTAACAAAAGGGCTATGTATAAATGACAGGTTTTACTGCTTAGTAACTGAGGAAGAAGTCATGCAGGAAACAATGTTAAATTTGAACAAGGCCATGGGATTTGGTAATATTGAAGAAGCTATCAAAATAGCTGAACTAGCAAGGGATAAACTGTATTGTACTGCAAGGATCAATTGAGTTCTCTGGAAAAAGGGTGTATGTGCAAAAGATGCAATTTGAGATAAACTGCAAAAGCTTCCCATTGCTAATTCGCAGCTGGTCTAAACTCAGCTTTCAGTCAAATGGTATCTTTGACCTTTCTCCAATTGAACTTGAGGTTTCAACACATTTATTTACCTCACATTGCTGGGATGCAGGCAGAAAGTGTTTATGCACATACGCCCTTTTTCCATATCCAAGCTGCTGGAACTTTCTCCAGCCAGCCTTTCACCACTTCTTACCAGTTAAAAATCATAATTTACCCATAAATACATCTACAAATTTCAAATCAGCTCTTCCTCTAAGAATGACAATAAAAATGTGAATATTCAGGACAAATTTCATCCACCAATTACTCCTCAGTGATTCATTTTAATTTATTTATCTTCTGAATCTCCAACTGTTTCATGGATATTGCCAACTTCTTGCATCCTACCAGCGGCTTGGATGACTGGGTCATTTTTTTAAAATAGCTCTTCCCCCATAATCCCCTTGTCAGGAAGCCAAGCCAAAGGTGCATTGGCTCCATTAATCATCTTACTGTTTAAAGAAACTGTTTTTTTCCCCAATACTTGAACTATACATGTGGATCTCAATATAATGGTAACTATAAGAGAGAAAAACTTTGAGATTGTGAACGAACTCAACTAAATACCTGGGAGTATATCTTGCAGAGCACATCAGAGGGCATGCTCAAATTGAAAGGGTATGTGAAAAGTATTGAGAAAAGCAATGGAATCCTTTTAAAGGTATAAAAATTCACCCCTACCTTTTCCTAAGTTTTTATATGATATTTATTCAGTCTCACTTTTGCTAATTTTTTTTTGGAAAACCTGGGGACCCTAATAGGTGAAATTCACCAAGTGCACATAAATAGCCTAGAAGCAAGCTATCAGGATTATCAATAAGGTAGCTAAGAGATCACACATAGCCTTTTAAAAAGTAAAGGGTGCTCCTGCCTTTGAATTTATTTATTTTACATTAGCCTTGTGATTTTCAAGGAAATATTTAAAAATATAAGATATGTATGTGCTGTTGACTAGGTACCTTATCCAGCACCAGGAACTGGAAAACACAACATTTTTATTATGAATGCAACTGAAGTAACCTTTGTGGAAACACTTCATTAGGAGGATGCAGGTGTTTAATTCATGTACATTATATTTTTAAATAAATGAAATGTGAATGGATCTCCTTAACTCTTCTGTGCATGAATCTTTAAAGCAAAGCAAAAATGTGCTTTTTTTTAGTTTAATGTTTAAAGTGGTACTCTGCTGTTGCATGTTTCACTGTTACAAGGCATCACTGAATAGTTGATGAGCCCTGGAGTGGACTGCATGCACCAAAAGTTTTGATGCATGTGTACTATGGCTGAAAAACCAATATCAGAATCAAAATCATACCTATCAAATTCAGTGGACATCATGCATGAAAGGGTTAAGAAAGGTCCCATATTTATTTTCCTTCCTTGCTGTCCTTGCACTTTATTTTTCACTTGACATTTTGTCACACTACTGATGGAGGGGGGGGGGGGGGGCAATCAGGCCTCTGGCTACTTCTTGGAAAATAAAGGTGGACATCAACAATGATTTTGTTTGTGTCATATTCCAGTTCACCGAATTGGTCGTACAGGTCGATCAGGAAAGACAGGTGTGGCAACAACATTCATCAACAAGACCTGCCAGGAATCAGTTCTGTTGGATCTCAAGCATCTTCTCTTGGAAGCAAAGCAGAAGGTTCCTCCCTTTCTGGATGCTCTTCAGTCTGAATCTGAGAAATACCTGGACCTTGGTGGTGAGTTCCACCACTTAGAGAAGGATGTGTTTGAAAAAGTGAAAGTTTTCTACAACAACGAATCAGCTAATTTAGATGCTCTATTTCTTAATATCAATGTTGGTAAAGTAAGTTTCACCTTTGTAAAATTTGTTCTTTCAGATGAGAGAGGCTGTAGCTTCTGTGGTGGCCTTGGTCATCGTATCACTGACTGTCCGAAACTGGAGGCTATGCAACATAAGCAGGCTTCCAACATTGGACGCAAGGACTACCTTGCATTTGGCACATCTGATTACTAGCCATAGACGTAGGCAGAGTGTATGCTAAATCATCCATAAGGTGGATAATGGATCCCCATGATGATGGGATATTCATTTTGTTGCCCCCCTCCCCATATTTCAATGTGTGTTGTGCAAGAGGCAAAGCAATTTGGTTGGCAAAAATGTTTGTCAGTAAACTCTTAATGCTTTATGTTTATTGGGAATATGACAGACATGTTCTCCTTCAAGACCTCAATGCCTATTCTTTACGCATAATCATGACTTCAGTCCTTTCTGTAGCCTGCAGAGACACACCTACCTGATACAAAGTCATGGAATCGACACAGGAGTGAGTAGTAGAGGGAGCATTATTCTCTAGCCCCAAGTGGAATAGTGCCATCAAGGTTATAAAAATTAATGGTTCCAGGACTTTAACCTTATGGACGTTCTGGAGATTTTAACTTGAGGGGGAAAAATAGGAATTGAGTGATTTTGTTGGAAACAGGGGCAAGGTTAAGTACCTCTAAAAGTACAGAACTGGTTCCAAAATCTTATTACTTCAATGAAAATGAATGGCTAAAAACTGACTTTAAAAAATCGGAAGTATGTTTCATGTAAAGTCATTGACCGAGTTATGCTCCGCATAGGAACGAAAGATAAAATGAAGGAAAAATGAAATAAGAGGGACATGCTGAACTTAGAGATGAGGAAGCCTGGTGGTTTGAGGGATGTGACTTTGAATGCACTAACGGCCAAAAGACCACCTCACTTAGATTGGCAGTTTTTCTTGCTTCAGATATGCTTCTAGGTTCATCCTGTCCCAACTGATGAAACGCAGAATGTCTGATTCGGAGCAACCATAACCATCCCCATCGATATTAAAACCGTCGCTCCGTGTGACCAGGCATTCTCAACAGGACACTGATGCGATAGTCAATTGTTACCTATGCTATATGATTTTGCTGTTCCGAAGAGAATGGCTCTCCGAAAACTAAAATTTAGCAAGACGTCTGATGACACGAGACATAGGATATTCAGAAAAAATTATTGGGATATCGATTAGTTTCTGGAGACCATGCAGAGATTCTGACTGACTAATGAGCTTAGAACCGAATATCATTTCTTCAGGGAAGCTACTATGGTATACAGGGTGTCCATAAAGTGACTACCTATGGGCGACTTTTTATTATAGACCCTGAAGTAGTCATTATTTTTAAAATTTGTTGACTGACGCACGTACCGATCTCGGAATAGTGTCGTATCTTTTCTCCTTCCACTTTGGCACGGCCGAGAATTAATTTCCCACATCTGGTGTTTTATTTTTTTTTTTATTCTTAAGAATAGAGAAATAATTCAGACGACGATTCAGGAAGAATTTTGCCGTTCGACCATATTGCAACAACTTCTTGAAGTTAGCACAGTATTGATTGGATAATAGAACGTTTTGGGAATTCAAAATCATAAAAATTAGGAAATTACTCGACAAATTGGCTCAATGTGTCTACCGCCGATTTCCAGACATTTCTGAGCCCTGGCAATTGCATTGTCGGCAACATCCACGAGAATTCTATCACTTTTCTGGCACGAGGGATATTCTTTTTCAAGTTTTTCAAATCTGCCCTTGTAAACAATGCCTTTTAAGTAGCCCCAGAGAAAAAGAATCACAAAAGAGGTCAAAATCCAGAGATCGTGGAGGCCATTTGCCCTGGCTGTCGATTCGGAATGGTACACTCCATGTCTGAACTTTTTTGGAAACAATGGTTTGAAAAATGAATTCTCAGTCACATTAGAGTGTAGGAGCAAAAGGTGTTGCATCATTCCGAGGTCTAATGATAAATAGCCTACAAAAATAAATAAAAGTTGGTTCCCCCAGATTCAGTATGAAAAAAGTTGCCCATAGGTAGTCACTTTATGGACACCCTGGTCAAATCTCATGGTCCTGGACTACAGGTCAAATCTCGTTACAACGAACTTCAAAGGGGTGTCCTGATTATTTCGTTGCATGGAATATTGCTCGAAATAAGTTCAAAAGAAACATTCTCTATTCAAATTAGCTATGTCTTCCAACGTACAGACCACATGCTGTAAATTTCCACTTTATTTTGTTTGAAAAAAATCTGTAATTTTGGATTGCACAAGAGTTTGTGTTGCCTTGTCAATGTCGTAGAGCGCACCACGCATTTTTTCCTTTTGGTCTGAGCCGCTTGCCTCAACTTTTCATACATTTTGGCACGATCCTATGAGAACGTGGATAACGTAGAGGGAGTGATGCCGAATTCTTTTGCCACGTCTCTTTTTTTTCCCCGCCGGAATCTACTGCTTCCACTACTTTCATTTTTTCTGCCGGCGTTTCTTGTTTCCCTTCTAAGCCATGTCTACGGGATGGGGCGCACAGGTACACTGTTGTAAGTGGTGAGGTTTTGGCCACGACTAGCCTGCGCCGACTACTGTACGTTCCTCATTGCGCTAACACGGGGGGAGGCGGACAGGGCTAGAGCCGAGCGAGATTTAAGTCTTTTGGACGAGTGGAGCAAGAAATGGCTCATGAGGTTTAATAAAAGTAAGTGTAAAGTTCTCCACGTCGGTCGAAACAACGGTAGGTCTCTCGACACGTTCGGCGATGTTAAATTGGATGAGGCAAACGGAGAGAGAGATTTAGGTGTTTCTATCGATGAGGACCTCAAGTTTTCCTCGCACGCGCAAGCGACGGTGTTCGAAACAACGGTAGGTCTCTCGACACGTTCGGCGATGTTAAATTGGATGAGGCAAACGGAGAGAGAGATTTAGGAGTTTCTATCGATGAGGACCTCAAGTTTTCCTCGCACGCGCAAGCGACGGTGGCCAAATGCAACAGGATTCTAGGTTACATTCGTCGGTCGGTTGCAAGTAGGGCATCTCGCGTTATTCTTCCGTTGTATGCGGCGCTGATAAGACCCCAGTTGGAATATTGCATCCAGTTTTGGAGGCCTACAAATAAGGGCGATTTGTTGGCGCTCGAGGGAGTACAGAGGAGGGCCACTAGAATGATTAAGGAGGTCAGGGGACTATCATACGAGAAGCGTTTAGAAGTGTTGGGACTGTACTCGCTCGAACGAAGGTTAAGGAGGGGCGATCTCATCCAGGCTTTCAAGATAATTAAAGGAATAGATAATGTCGAGTATGGTAGGTTTTTCCAGTTTGATGGCTGCAAGAGAACGAGAGGTAACCAACTTAAGTTGCGCAAACCGCAGGTGCGGCTCAGGTCGAGACAGGAATTCTTTACTTGCAGAGTGGTGAACGCGTGGAATGCGTTAGATAACGAAGTAGTGGCTGCCCCGCGCTGTGACTATCTTTCTAAAGAAACTAGATGCTTTCATGGACAGACAAAAATGTGAGGGGCAATGTTGACGTTAGGTACTAGACAGTAAGGAACTAGGATAGCCAAATAACAAAAAAAAACAAAACAAAAACGCAAAAATATTTAGCTTGAGGAGGGTTAGGCCTACCCAAAAATTAAGGAACGCTCCACTTCGACACGTGATATAGAAATGGGCGAAATCGCCTCTTGATATCACTAACTATCTTGAATGTCCGATTCACTACCTGATAAAGTAGGAAGACCTTCAAGCAGCTACGGAAAGTCCACTGAAAAGTGGACTGCTTCCAAAATCCATTCATTCGCCAGTTTGCAACGTTATACCAGCTTTGGTAATGTGTTTCGTGCACATATTTGTTGGCAAGGTGCAGTAGGCACTACCCCGAACCGTATTGGTAGTCATAGTAAGCATCGTGTTTGATGGTTTTACATGCTGTGGCAGAAGTATTTTTACTTAAAAGGATGAGAGCTATATTTTTTACTTGATCCACAAGAGCTCCTCTACTGTATGTCAAACAGTCCCGAGGCTGAAACGGTTCTGCCTAACTTCATTCATGGTGTAATGTGCTAATGGATGTATGAAGAATCAATCTAATCCTCTGACGATGACATTACAGCTCCTGACCTGGTCCAAATGGCTGCACAGAGAGAGGGTGTGCCCCAAGTGCGGAGAACCTATGATGATTATGAACGCTTCTAAAATAAGTGACGGGGTCGCGTTCAGGTGCCGAAGGACCTCCTCCTCCATCAGGACGAGTGGATCAAAGAAGAGACAGAAGAAAACCAGATGCGATGAGTTTGTATCGGTCAGGAAGGATTCCTTCTTTCAAAATTCAAATTTAATATTAATCGAAATTTTGCATATCATTTATCTCAGGATTCATATCTTGCCCCTGGAGTACATCACTCATGAGACAGGAGTCTCCTCCGGAACAGTCGCGGATTGGGTCTCATCACCATGATTGGGTCCCACCAGTTTGAAGCTTATACGTGTGTCCATTTCGCTGTTAAAAAATATATATTAGGAAAATACGACTCACCCAAAAGATATGCCCTGTGGGGATGGCCCACAAAATATTCCCTGAACTGAACATCACGTCAGTTATGCGTTCAACAAGCTTCACAATTCGCTAGGAAAAAAAGCATGCCCCTATGGGATACATCTCAAACGTGACACTGGATTCAGGAAAATTTCACCGTCATGTCAAATTTCATCTTTCCGTGTCTCTTTACGCCTTATTCTTCATTTCTTTTTTGAAGATGGGGAATACGTTTGGAACAATCGAGAAGATGCGGCTGTATAATGCCATTGTTCAAGCAAATGCCTCGACAGTGGAATAGGCGGGACGCCAGTTATGGTCACTTTGGGAACGGATTGGCCAACATCTCAATTGGAATCTGAGGGAATGCTGGAAGTGGGCAATACCCCGGCGAACAAAGTTCTAGTATACATAGAATAAAGTTTCCATGCTCATTAAACCACCTACCGTCTCTTGTTCAACAAAGAAGGATACATCATATCTGCTTACAGCATCAATCCCTACGATGAACGATAACACCTCCCAAAATTACTCTTAAGCGATAGTGGTGTAAGCCACTATCACTTGAATAGGACATTTTTGAGAGAAGGGAGGTTGCGTTAGGGGTGTTTCGTGAGAGTTTTAGGATTACTATTCTCTAGGAATGGATTCCGATGGGAATGCTCGATCAAAGCCTACTCCTTTGTCCCACTTAGTGAATACAATGCCATTTATTCAAATGGTGAATTATAAAAGAAAGAACCTGCGGCCGCTGCGATAGCTATCTAATTATAAATATACGTAGTTGTCCATGACCTAGCCTTTGGCCAAGAATGGCATAGCCTTGTGTGTATCAGTCCACGGATGGGAGACAAC